AGGTTTCAAAGGCAAGTTTGTGCTTAGTGAAAGGTAGTTTTGTGACAAGTAACAATAAAATAAAAAGTTATTCCCTCCCTTTTGAAAATGTTTTTCAGTTGGGAAATGAGAATAAATACACAGAGAAAAAGCTACTTATGTTTCAATCAAAAAGATATTTCATAGTCACAGAATTCAAAATCCCATTATTTTTGCCAAAGTTTTCGCTAGAGGGCAGGAAACACTTTAACAAATTATAAGGCAATCCAAAGCTGGAACCAATGTCTTATCTAACATGGCTCCAAAGAGAAAAAGATTAACATTAAAAGAAAAAGTTGATGTAATTCATTTAACAAAAATGAATAAACTTCGTTTGCAAGATTTAAGGCAGGAATTTTGAATAAGTAAAAACCAATTAAGCCATGTGCTAAAAGATACAGAAGAAAAAAATATTATGGATTAGTATTTCAACAGAAAATCTGAAGCATGTAAAACTGATACAGTAGTGTTCAATTTGTTTTATTCTGTAACAAACAATGTTGCTCTAAGTGAAGTATTCTTGCAAAAGAAGTTTCAGAAAGACTGGGACTACAGAACCACAAAGCATCAAATAGTTGATTAGACAAATTTAAGCAAAGACATAACATTATTTTTAAGACTATTTGTGGTGAAAACATATCAGTAGATATGTAACATGCAATAAATAGGAAAAAAAAAAAAAAAGGCTAAGTAAAATTTAAGAAAGATATGAGCCTAAAAACATCTACAATGATGATAAAATTGGATTATTTTAATGAATTTTGCCTAATAAAACTATGCTTCTAACGAGAAAAGTGCTCTTGTATTAAAAGCTCCAAGAAACGTTTCAATGTGCTACTTTTGTGGAACATGGAAGAAAAATTTGAGCAATCACTTCTAATCAGAAAGGTGAAAAACCAAGATGCTTCAAAAGCATCAATCCAAAAGCTTTATCAATCCATTGGCATTACAATAAAAAGTCATGGATGAATCAAAGGATAATGCCAGAATGGTTGACTGCTCTTAATAAAACAATGTCTAGGGAAAAAAAAAAAAAAAAAAAAAAAGAGGAAAATTCTGCTCTTCTTGACATATCACTAACCCATCCAACAAATTTTAAACTGAAATTAGTGTTTTTCCTACCTAATGCAACACTAGTATTTGGATCAGCTTTTGGACAAAGATATAATTAGAAACTTCCCGATTTGTAGCAGAAAACTGTTTTTAAGGCATGTCAAGCTGCTTGCTAAATGTGTCAATATATTGAATGCCATTCAGTGAAAAACAATGACTGTTAAATCCGTATCACAAAGTTGTGTTCAGTATTGTTTTAAGAAAGCACGCTTTGAAATATTTAGAAAGTGATGAAAGCTTGATTACTAAAGATACCAATGATGACGTAAAATTTTTTATTTCAACTGTAACTGATGATGTGAACTTTAATAAAAATAGCATGGAAGGCAATGAGGAAATTGAAGAACCAGAGAAAAGTGTGACATCTATACAGATCTCTTAAAAATACATTTCCCAATTAATAAATTTATAAATATTGGTATAATAAATTTAACTATTTGTAACAGTGAAAGACTTAAGATCATCTGTGACCTTAGTAACCACGTAGAAAACAATGCTTGCAATGCACACTTTGAAACAAATCCGTGTAACATATTATTTTCAATTCTGTATACAAAACTCTATTGTTCATTTTATCCATTTTTACAATAATCAAACTTTTTTAAATTATGGATTTCACTTTTCATTAACTTTGAATTCAAATAAATACCTGTGACCTGAGTCACAAGCACACAAGACCTCTCTTTCATTGAAGTACTTCAAAAGATCTTTCCATGACATTTTTTACCATTCACTTTCACAGATGTCTTTTCCTCATATCAGTCCTTTATCAATCAACTGATATAGAATCAGAGACTCGGGAGATGGGGAAAAATGTTACACAGAAGGCACTGACAATAAAAATAAATTAACCACAGGACAGTATGCAGTTCATAAGGTAACAAAGATGGTTACATAAAATAACTCATTATAGAAAATTACTCAAAGCTTAAGGTGGCTGAAATATCCAAATCTTAAAATCAATCGACTGATTGTTTTAAATTAGGGTTCCCAATGGGGTTTTTAGGGCTCGATGAAATTTTAACGAGGGTAAATTATGGTAAAGGGATCAGCAGTTGAATATAGCACCAGCAACTGAGCAGCAAAATCAAGATCTCATTGATTATAAAAAATCATTAATTAAATTGGTAATTAACTGTTTATCAATCAATATAAAGCTATATCATGTATGAGGGAGAAAATCGTATAAAAATATATAAGGGAAAAATAAACTAAAATTACTTATACTTTTTGATTCAATAATATTGTTTTAAAATGTATAAAATTTTTATGCAATATAAAAGAGTAAAATGTGGGAAGACAAAAAAAAAAAAAAAAACACAACAGAGAAATATGAAACACGTAAAAGTAGAATAGACAAGAATCGAGCTGAATATTTTTGAGCATGTTCATTTAAAATTAAATTATGCCAAATATTACACTAAAGGTTGTATCAATATATGTAATATAACCATTACATTCATTAAAATTTGACTTTAAAGCAATTAGAATCCCTGGTTTTGTTTCTGAAAGGTAAAAGTTAATCCATAAAGTAATAAAACATAAATATAATAAATTCATTGTTTCTCTAAAGTTTTTGTTTTTTCTTATTTTAATCCAACTGTTATCTTTTTATTTATGTACAGGTATTCATATTATAATTTTATGTTTCATGTTGTATATTATGCAAAGAAAAAAGTTTGGACTACTTAGTTTAAAAAATTTTAGCAAAGCCCATGAAGCAATATGGAAGTTGATCAAGAAGGATAGTGTAATGAAAAAAAATATTTAAGTATTCTGGCAATTTTATTGCTGTTGTTTTTCGTTTTCATAAAACATTATGAATGAGGTATGTAAGCACAGTTCAAAATCTTAGCATTTCTGAAACATTAACAGCAAAATTGAACACCGGGTAATTACAGAATTGCAATTTTCACACAACAGAATACATCATTTTCAATTAGTTTATTCTAAATACAAGGCAATATTGTGAAATACGACCAGCACATTCACTTTGCTATGTGTAACAAAAATGGCACAAACAAATATGGAGCAACATAAATAACTATCGTAAAATAACACTTCTACATTAACAAAAGTTCTCTTTTGCAATGGCTATGTCGAGATGAAAACCAACTTCTTCAAAAAAATACATACATCATACCCATGGATTTGATATATAAATGTAATTTTTTTACGACCTATTGAAAATATAATCAGTACAAATAAGTAGATCAAATGTAAAAAATAAAACAATCAATGTGTATGTTGAAAAGAAAATTGGCAGTGTAGATACTTATGTGCATCTAGAGATGGAAAAACACATTTAAAGCATAGTATACATTGCACACAGAACTATAACAACTTCATTTTCATCAAATCATATTTCTAAGAATTCTAAGCATTGTGAGGAAAAAAGGAAGGGGGAGAAACACGCTTTATAAAAAATTAGAATGTTTTTAGAATAATATTTTACTCATTACTGAATGGATTTTCTTGAGGCAGAGCATATGCTTATTTGAAAGTATTTAACTATTTGAGCCTGACATTACAGCTATTTCTGTAGAATAACAACTGCTTATTCAATATAATAACTTGAAATATTTTAAAGCTATTTTAATAATAATCATAGTGACAATTTTCACATAAAATGATGCTCAATAATAATATAATTTAGCTAGAGTAGTAATTTATCTTATAAGAAAAACAGTTAAAATATTTGTTTTATGTAAGTTTTAAAGACTAATTTTAGTTGAATTTTGAAATACACTTCAGAAGTATGCACACACTAATAAAAAAAATCAGGAGCAAATTTTCAAATTCCTAATACAAGATTATAATAAAGAATTACATGAACAAGGGAATAACATAAAAAAATTAAGTGCACAAAATAAAAAAAAGTACACTGAAACACTCCTCCCCCCCCCTCTGGAAAAAGAGTTTTCTAAGAACACCCTCTTCAAAATAAATTTTTTTATTAATATCATTGGGGGGGAAAGAGCCTTAAATTACAACAAAAGTATTTCTTTCACTGAAGTTATGTACTTTGAGCTCATGACAAATTCGTGGGATTCCCCCCCCCCATGTATGACATATTTGGCTCATTTTCAAATTTTACTTTTATATGATGTCCCAGAAGAAAAGAAAGAAAATTCAAGATAAATTAATATTTAAAGTTTAATTTGAGCAATGCATTGCATAAAGATAACTATAAATATATTTCTATAATTTAAAATATAATCCATTGAAATTTTTTAGATATAAATCTTACAAAATGTGATCCTAGACAAAAATGCTTGTCCCTTTCAAGTTTTATGTTACTCAACATCTTTCTTTTGTAACCTAATTATTTTTTTTAAATTAAGAAGTTTAATTACTTTAAACATGACTATGCAATGTTGTTCAAATTAAAATTTAAATATTAATTTATCTTGAATTTTCTTTCTTTTCTTCTGGGACAGCATATGTAAGCAAAATTTGAAAATGGGCTATTTACACACTTATTCTTTAAGTATGTTGATCTTTTTTTATATTAAATTTTAAAATTTATAACCAAAAAAGGTGCTTAATTTTTCTACAAATAATTTATATAACAAAGTACATGTTAATGCTTAGAGTTTAAAAAATATTGCATATATATTCCAAACTCTTAAAATTTACAGTTCATTTCAGCTGTCACTTTGAAGTATACGAGGGATAACAGTGCAGACAGGAATCAAAAAGACTTAAGATATAGTTGGAGAAGCTATAAAAATATACTTTTTGCAACTGCTTTAAATTTTAATTCTATGTTCTTCTATTATTAATTCTAGGTGTGTATAGGGGGGAGAAGCCTTTTTCAAAATTTAGTACCACAGCCTTCAAATAAAATAATCACCTCAGTTCAGTGATTTTTTTTTTATTTAAAAGTTCACCACATGATCAGTCACTTACACCATTATAAGATGGTTCACACTATTAAGGTGACCATTACAAAAAAAAAAAAAAAAAAAAAAAAATTAACAATACAACATTAACATATATATATGGCACAAAATTTTGCCAAAACAGCTAAGAAATCTTAAATTATAAATATATGATTCTGCTGACATCAAATATATATATATATATATCATTTTCTAGCAGTAAATTTACTTAAAACATTAATTTAAGAAAGCATTAAAACGATACTCACTGAACAATTTCGAAGCTTCAATAATATTATCTAGTTTGAAGAGGGAATTTTCTTTACAGATAATATGTTATGTTAGAAACATAATTCTATAAACTTCAAAACGCATATCTAACAATATGCAAAAACCGTCTATAAACAATTTGCAATATCCTACATAATAAATATATAAAGAAAAAACAAAAAGTTGATTTCCTATACAATTAACTGTGTGGAAGTTATTTGTACTTTAATAAAAATTTAATCATGCACAATAACTACCACTGCATTGCTTAAAATAAAGGAAAACTCCATAGTTATGTCTATGGAACAAACAATAATACAGAAAAAATAAGAGATCCATAATTTCAATGAAAATGATAGAAATGTTGAATTATGTGAGAATCTTTGGGTAATTGCTTAAACATGTTAAAAAAGTATAACAGTACATGGTAAAATATAAAATATAAAAGCATTAATTTAAAATAATTTGTCTTCAGTATTATCTTATTTGTATGTATAGGGAGAAACATGAATAAAATAATGAATTAATGAGTTCTGTGTCAAAATAGTTCAACCAAGTAATAAAAAAGTCTTTGGTCCACTTAAAAGCTTACATTTTCCGAAGTGCAATATGCAGATTGCAAAATACTTTTTATGATAAACACACAAGATATATAAGAGATTGTTATAAAGATAAAAGAAGAATGAGATTCAGCATACGTTAACAATAAACACAGCCATCTGAATTACAAAAAGATAAAACTGCCATATTCCAAATTAAGTTTAATATAAAATAAACCAAATAACCTTTTCAACAAAAACCTCAGCATATGAAAAAAGTCATGAAGAGTTTTACACTAGTGAATACGAGTGCAGAAACCGCAAAAAATGTTTTGTTTAACATGTGAAAGAAAGGTATTAATGAAAGCTTTTACATAAACACATTCCATATATTTATAAACTGACTTTGAGTTAAATATAGTTGAAAGTAAAATAAATAACTAGAAGACTGATTAGATAATTATTACACAGATAAATTCCAAAAGATAATAATAATATAAGGAACTAATGCATGTGATAATTAATTGTTGAGTATCGCAATTCTATATAGGATGAAGAATATAAACATTTAAAGATTAGTGCAGCTATAGATTTGCTTCCAGATATTGACACATTTAGCGATATCTAAACTTTTTTATACAATCATTTCCAAGATCAGCCACAACTACATGAAAGTCATTAAGTACATCCAAGCCACTTGGACGTTTCAGTTTAGCCTCATGACTATCAATAGAAAAAAGGAAATTTCCTGACTGGTAACTGAAGACTCTTATAAAACTACCACTCTTATCACTTTTTGTAGCTAAAAGATTTCCTTTGCCATCATAAACTATTCCACCATGACGACTCTTGCCCTTGCCTTCTGAAACAATCTCTCGAAGAAATTGTCCACTAGATGTAAAAATCTGGATCCTTGAATCACTAACTATGATTTCATCTAATGGACCAATTGCAATAGAACTAATTAAATTAAATGTACTACCAAATTTCATAACAAAGGTACCAGATGGCTCAAATGCAAACACAGAAGCAGCACCATTATCAGCCACAAAAATTTGGCCCTTACTATTAATGGCTAAATCTATTGGCTCCACAAACTCAGCATGAGTAAACTTTTGAATAACAGAACCTTCAAAATCAACTTCCGTTATAAATTTTGTTCTCCAATTAACTATAAACAAGGTGTTCTTTAAAGATAAAGCTATCCCTGTACCACTACGATCTTCCATACCTGCATCAAATATATGACCTAAAAATTTGAAATCTTTTGTAAGGACTTTTATTCTGCTATTTCCAGTATCAAGGACAAATAATTTACCACAACTTGAAGCAACCAACCCAACAGGCTGGAGGAAATGCAGATCGCCACTGCCACGCAGACCAAATTGAGAAACAGGATTAATGTGCTCGGACACTATAAAATGAAAGGGACTATCTTTGATAGGTCGATCAAAGACAGTTACATTTAATTTATAATTTCCTGGCTGTTCTGGGAGAAAATTCACATCATAAGTTCCATTATTGCGGTCTATCAAATGGGTTTTGACACTATCTCCGTTTTCATACCTTAAGTCGATAACCACAGGATCTCCACCTTCAGACTGAACTGTTCCATGATAATCATAAGCCGTAATGCACACAGTTGTTTCTAAGTGAGCTGAGCAACATTCAACCGAGGCAGAGCACAAAGCAGGATATGTGGTACTAGAACGAACACGACCAAATTCTCTAAGCGATTTTTCTATATCATTTGATGCAGAATTATGGTCATGCTCATATTTAAGAAATGCATTTTCTCTAGGCTCCATAATAGCATTTAAAGAATCTAGTTTTTTATTCAAATCACTTATTCTATTGGTAATATTACGAACTTCAACTTGGTATTGCAAACCGCTACACTGCTGCTCAACTTTTTCCTTTTCTGATTCAATGATGGACAGCTGATCAGCTAATATTTTTTTCTTGTTGTTTTTCAGTTTTTTAACTATTTCTATGAGTTCACATCTTCTCCGTTCAATGGCATTTGTTATTTCCTGAACAGAGCGATTGATGGTTTCAAATGCTGCAGTAGATTCTAATTTAGTGATTTCATCATTTACATTTTCTGCAGCTTTGTTAAGTTTACTAATACAAAGATGTGCCTTGTACAAAAGAATTTCTGACATTCTCTTTATGGCAATGGAAAATGGTATGACAGTGTGCTGGCCACTCTCAGTGCCATTTCCATGTGCTCCTGTAGTGCATAATCTACAAAATACACAATCACAAGTTTCACAGAATAGCAATTCCTGAGTAGAATGCAAAGAACATTTTGGAATAACTTCTCGCCGTTGCCTGGACATTAGATCTAAAAGCTGATTTACCAGGAAACTTGGTGGCAAAGCGCTGACTCCACCACGAGGCAAAGGAATCGTTTCTCGACAAATGGGGCATCGGAAAGAACCAGCATCCCGAACACCATTTCCTGCTGCTATTCGCTCAAGGCAATTACGGCAAACTGTGTGAGAACATGGCAAAAGTTTCGGAGTATGTTCTTGGCCATCATAAGTGCACAAACATGTTCCACATGTGAGAAAGCTCTCACTAAAATCTTCATAATCAATAGAAACAGTTTCAACCAAAGTTGATGAAGTCATTTTAGTTGATCTTTTATTTCTTCTCTTGGTTAAAACCTACAAATATGAAGCAGAAAAAAATATGATTAAAAATCTGCTATGCAATCAGTAGAAAGAACAAATTTTTAATAATAATAATAATATTACACTCTTAAAGTGAAAGTTGTTTAAGACACAATTATGAATGACAACTACAGTTTTCTTGATGTCTAATAAAACAACATAAGACACAAATAAAATGAAATTTTATTTTAGGCTGGCAGCGAATTTGTCTGGCTTTTAAATGTACCGGAAAAATGGCTGAAGGAAACACCAACCATTAAATTTAAAAACTGTGTAGGATTTTACTCTACAGAACAACTTCATAAAAAGAAAGTTATTACATATAACAAAATTACAATGAAATAAGCAATATCCCTTAATACAAATAATAATTATCCTAATAAATACATTAACCAACTTCCCTTTGCAAAATCTTAAGAACTCAAATGGTATAAAGGAGGTTAAGAACTTTGTTTTCCTGGCAGCGAGTCTAATAAAACAACATAAGACACATAATGAAATTTTATTTTAGGCTCGCAGCGAATTTGTCTGGCTTTTAAATGTACCGGAAAAATGGCTGAAGGAAACACCAACCATTAAATTTAAAAACTGTGTAGGATTTTACTCTACAGAACAACTTCATAAAAAGAAAGTTATTACATATAACAAAATTACAATGAAATAAGCAATATCCCTTAATACAAATATTAATTATCCTAATAAATACATTAACCAACTTCCCTTTGCAAAATCTTAAGAACTCAAATGGTATAAAGGAGGTTAAGAACTTTGTTTCCTAAAAAAAATCACTCAAAACTTTTCAGTATCTTAAAAACATTGAAATGAGCAATAAATAACATAAAAGAATACAAAAAACAAAAAATTCTAAAAAGCAAAGTATAATTACTGATATTTTATCTTATATTTTCAAGAGAAAAATTTACAACGAAATAAGCTATATCCCCTAATACAAATATTAATTATCCCAATAAAAAAATTAACCAACCCATTGAAGAAAAAAAATCATGCAAAACTTTTCAATATCTTACAGTGAAATAAGCAAAAAATAACATGAAAGCAACTCAAAAAACATAAAATTCCGCACAGAATTTTACTCTTCAAGAACGACTTTATATTTAAAAAAAAAAAAAAAAAAAAAACCACCACCAATAAAAATGTATTACATTTATATAAAAATGACAATGAAATTTGCCAATCTCTTAAACACAGAGACATAAGAAATATGATGGAAAATTGTTGCCAAACCCATATTTCTAAAAGAATGAAACTATTCAAAATGATGCAATTTCATCAAAAATCTATCAACAACAATAAGACAGGAAAACTGTTGCCAAAATCACATTTTTAAAGATATGAGAAGTGTACTCGGAAGCTTCATTTAAAAATTTTTTTTAAATACGAAATACTATCATTTTTCCAAAATTCTTTTTGGAAAAGCAGTCACAAGGATGAAAGTTTAACATGTCCAAAAATCAAAGAAAAATAAACTGCACATTTTTAAAAATAAAGTTTTTTCAAAAATATTCCGTTGAAAAGTTGCTAAGCTCCCTTTGTTAAATAAATTCCTATTTAATAGATTTATCGAAACATGAAATTTATTTTAAGTTCATAAAATAGCTAAGTGCCTACGTTTCATGACGATGTGAAAATGGAGTGTGTCGAGTAAAATCCCGCTTTCCTATAGCCCATTATGTCTCAAAATGAGGTGATTTTGTAACACATAAAATAAAAAAAATTCTAATTCGAATTTTGAAGAAAAATTGCTTTGAGGTGCACTGGCTCTTGTCTAGATGCACCTACGTACCAAATTTCGTAGCTGTGGGTTTATTAGCTTATGCGTAGCGCGAACAAAAGACAGACACACACAGACAGACTCTTTCTTTTATTATATGTAGAGATTATATGTGAAATTGGGATTTTTGTTCTTAACTTTGCTAAATTTTGAACAAACCTAATCTGACTGCATAAGGTAAAATAAATAAAAAGTACATTTATTAAATAGCATTATTTTCCAGAAAAGTTTCAGTTACTAGAGTATATTTAAAAATAGTTTTAAAATGAAAGGAATGCATAAATAGATTATTTAAGTTTTATGAAATTTCTTAATTCCTATTCTGAAGTCAGACTAAAACCAACAACAGACTTATTTCAAATCTGGTGGCTATATCGTTACAGTCACCCAACAAGATACTTTTTTCTTGGGAGGGAGGAAGGACACTTTTACTAATGAATTCTACTATTAACTTGAAAATAGTTTCTAACAAATGCCACCAGATGGTTGCTCGGTTTTCAGATGTGAATTAAATGATACAAACGAAGGATTAGGAGCCATTCTTTGCGATTCCAGCTCCAGTAATATCTTGTTCTTTACCACTATAGCTCCATTCTACATTTAAGAAATTGGGGGTCGAGTTTGGGGTCATGTGAGTATTCAAATACTAGATACTTGGCAAAGAAGAGATACAACCATTTTCAGTGGATCCTCTCTTATACATATATGCATCTGACAATGAAGTCGCTGATAAACTGCATAAAAGAGGAAATGACTACTAAACATGGTATTAGTTTTGGGAGATTTTTTTATAAGGCTAGTTCACCGCTCCATCCCATAACTGACATGGCCAAAAGACGCCTTACCTTGGAATTTGAAAGACCAGATCAAATGGCTATTTCTCAGCTCATCAGTTAGCCATTTAAAAATTATGTGTTTTTTAACAAGATTGAAGGTTCTTCTCAACTTGCAATATGTGCAAATCACATCATGCCATCCTCTGAACACATCCTTAATTGTTTGGGTTTTTACGCTTGAGGATATCTACACACACACAGTTACGGTGCTTGATTTTGCTAAAGTGCATGGGCTCATGCACCAGATCTAGCTGGGGTATACTATTGTCAGCAACAACAACCATTAATAAATATCTAAAGATTTGTCTTTCAAGTAAACTTATAATAAGAGGAATATGCCTATAAATTGAAAAAATAAACTGTTTAATACTGAAAAATACCTAATTCTGTTTAGTATTATTGTCCATGGTAAATCTTAGCAAGTTGGTAAGCAAAGACGTAATTCACACAATGAAGCATGTTTCATCAAAAATATGGGAACATATAATGACTTGTAAGGGCACTGGCATCGCAAACAAGCAAAGGCATACAAGTTGATATGTGCACAAAATCAAATCTATAAAAGGCAGGGGTAGCTCTAGGAATGACTTACTCTACTAAGATAACCATGAAGAATTCCAGCTCCTCACAAATAGAATAAAGACACAAATAGATACAAATGAACTAGCTTCTTTTGCAAATATCCAGATTGGCACAGTAGAACATGTTATTGAACAACATATACTCCTTTAAAATGGCGCACAATTCAACTAGAGGACTAGGATCATGTCTCCACTGAAGCCTTGATAGAAGTGACAAATAATCAACTCTTTCCTCCCTTTTCCTCCACTGCATTCACAGAGGAAAGAATACAGGCACCTTCCAGCACAACTGATGCAGTACTGCTGAGCTTTGATAGTCTAAGGCGGTATGCACTTTTGTTTATATCCACAGCATGTTACCTTAACAGCAGTTTCATGGTCCTTCCAAATATGAGAATTCTATATAAACTGAAAAACAAGGACACTTCCTTACAAAGACACATTCATTGCCTTCCCTCTTCCATGACTGCATTCATTTCTATACAGACTTCATGATGAAATAATTCATGTCATATGCCTATTGCAAAAGTATCTCACCACAACTTGTAAAATCTCGTTTCACACAATAACTCAGTTAATGTCGGTATCTGTATGAATGTCTTCTTATTTTTTCGTGCTTCACCAATAATCATATTTGTTGAGTGAAAGTAAAAGAATCTATAATCATTATTTTTAATATAAAACAATTTAATACTTTCACAAATTTCATGAGGACATGCATATATCACATATTTAAAAATTTTAGCATACATAACATTAAATATACACTTTACAAAAAATAATTCCCTTTTTTGCAGTCCCCTTCTAATGATAAAACAGGATTTTATCTAACTTGAAAACTTGGATCTAACTTGAAATAGTTAATACAGAAATAAAAATAATTCTATGAAAAAGGGTCTCCGCTAAACTGTAAAATTATATTATAATCTAAAAAATTTTAATTAATTCTCTTGGTTCTAGGTATTAATCCCATGTTCTATTTAGATAATTTATAAATCCCATGTTCTATTTAGATAATTTATATTAAACCTATGTATTCTATTTTAGCATAATTTTGATATGATAGCACACGCTGTAAAATATTGATGTGTAGAATGCATTCATGGGTTATGCTAGCAGTTAAATTATTTCATCAGTTATATACATACAAATTAATTAATGGAATTCTGCATGTCCTGAAAATTCTGCAATAATTATAACTGTTAAAGCAATACATGTACTTACACATTATCCCATCAATTGTGAAACAGCTGTCAAACCATATGATTTAGTATCAATTATGGATAAGTGGAGTGTCATAATACACTCATAATATCTGTGTTTTTGTTTGATGCAACTCGAACTGATTTTTGATAAGCCACATTTTTTTGTTTTTATGAACAAAGATATAAAGTGGTTGTTAACAGCTGCATTCCCCCCCATATTATGGAAAAACTATTAAAATTTGAGACCTGCCTGAATGTTTTAATCTATGTTCTACATACAGGCCTGCCTGTATGTTTTAGCCTGTTCTATGTTCTATATACAGACCTGCCTACCTGTATGTAGAGCAGCAAGCAGTAGATTTTTTTCAAAGTTATGGAATCCTAGCCCCCACCCCAAAAAAAATGTGAATACATGATATGGTGAGTCGACTGCATATGGCTGATGAAACAATAACCTTCAGAAAATTTTAACTCATCATATTCTAAACAAAACTTCCATTAAAATCAAGGCCCTAGCAAAATAGCAGACTTCAAGAAAACTTTTAATGAAGAGCAAAAATGAAACAGGTTGAATAATGATTGTTTATTAAATAAAGAGGCCTCAATTCCTTCAGAATTCCACAAGAATGATTGATGCAACTTTGGCAGGATCTCCGTCAAGTTTCATGGTTCGGTGATAGCCAACTTTCCTGATTTGTAAGACTTATAAGAAGAATATAAAAACACAGGAGAAAACTTCCATTTATTCAATATGGAATGGAACATTATTAAATCTAGCCACAAAACTTAAAATTTCACTGAATTATAGTAATTAAATTTTAAAAAATTACATACCTATCTATATTATTCCACTAGTTCTAATACAGCATGAAGCAGTATTTTCCAGCTAAAATTTAATAAAGAAAAAGATATTAAGCCCAATTAGAAACGAGAAATACATTTACTCAAAATTAAGAACTGTACATTATTTTCTTTTTTAAATAATGTGCAGATCAGAGTTTATAAAGGAAAGAACATAGAATAATTACATAAAATAACTAATATAAAATCAGAGATAACATAAAAGAAATCATCATCAGTTTTATCAGAAATAACATAAAAATCAGAGTTTATAAAGGAAAGAATTAAATTTAAATTAAAAAAAAATTCTTTAATGCCAGATGAATACTTGCTATGTCTTAAACAAACATAATAAAATAAAAAACAGGAAATCAGATTATTACAGTACATTCTAAAACAAACTGATTATCTGCACCCTCACATAACACTCGCCACATCACTGGTGAAAAATATTTCATTTGGCTATCTTTCCGGCTCATATGTACTGTTTTGTTCATAAACAATAATAAAAAAGAAGCATTTTATAAAAAATAAATTTTACAGTGGGAACAAATTCACACAGTAAAAAAATTAATTGATCAACTCAAGTATTGAGTGATCAGTTATTGATCGAGTTATTGCTAAACATAATAACATAAAGGCATGCAAATTCACATGTACTCAAACCCATATGTGGTGTGCACATGCGTTTGCTATTATATGTATGTTTGGGAATATTAGGGGGGGGGAACAGAAACTCAAGTGAATTTAAAACCAAGAGGTGTAGATAATGAGAAAGTACCAAATCTTGAAACTGGAGGGGAAAGGAATTTTGGGTTTTGATCAAATAAAAGTTTTGACTCTGCTAATTTAACACTGCATTAATTCATATCATAGAATCTTGGCAATACTAGGGGGGGGAACAGCAACTCAACTGAATTTAAAACCAGGAGATGTGGATAATGAGAAAGTACCAAATCTTGAAACTGGGGGGGGGGAGGAATTTTGGGTTTTGTTCAAATAAAAGTTTTGACTCTGCTAATTTAATTTAACACTGCATTAATTCATATCATAGAATGCATTATTTAAATATATCTGAACAATGGATAACTGCAAGCAGAAAATAGCATTTCAAGCAGCACTGCCTAAAACCTAAATATAATTACAGTCTACAGGAAATAACCCATTAAATGCAATCTCAAAGATAAGAAAATAAAATTATGAAAAGAACAATATGCAGCAGTGGATTTTTTATGGCAGCAGGATTAACCAATGTCGAAATTCATCAATGGATGTTAAGGATACTTGTATGTTACTCGCAAGGATACAGGAGCACAGCAAACTCTTCACAGAAACATTGCCATCGTTGAAAAATTATAACTGATCTGATACACCAAAAGCAGCAAATCAATCATGTCTGCTTCAGTGTTACAGTTATTAATGTGATTATCCAAATAAAGTTCTAAAACCTGAATGTCCAGATGGACTGAGGACTAAGAGATATATCGAGTTTTAACAAAAAAAGTTCCCTGCCACCACAAATGTCGGCTGCGCAAACAGTTCACATTGACATCTTTAATCATATTTTGTTGAACAATTTTTGGGATTTGAAAGAAAGACATTTGCTTTACAATACTGTGTCGTGAAATATGTAAAATAATGTCACTAAATATAAGGTGTCTGAAATGGGAATTCTGTTCCAGTTCTGTTGCAAAAAGTCAGCTACAAAATGTCACCAAATCATGTGTACAGCTTTTGGAACTAATGTTGTACCATATGACACTGTGAAGGTTTGATACCAGAAGTTCAATAACAAGGACTATGACATTCAAGAAGCGGAGCACTCTAGCCGGCCTACTGATGTTGATGAGGCTTGCCTGCCAGAATTTGTGGAAGATAATCAGTATGCAACTACTCAAGAGCTTGCTAAGGAGTTAGATGCTCGTGTCATGTCCATTAGTTGTGCTATGCATCACATAACCTTTAATGTACAAGTTCAAATGCTGGAAGCCATATGAGCTGAGTCAAGCAGATAATAACAGACTTGTTTAGGCATGCACTAATCTGCTTGAATATCTACAGAAGGACAAAATTCTGGAACAGATCATCACTTGTGATGAAAAGTGGATTTACTTCAACAACACAGACCGAAAAGGGGGTTGATCTGCATCCAATCAGCCTGTCAGCAGCGTCGCAAAGCACAATTTAACTAACAAAAAGGTCATGCATTGTATCTGGTATTGAAGATTGCCATGGTATTTATTATCCACAAAGAGTACCTGAAAAAAAGGTAAAACCCTCGACAGCAAGGTGTAGAGCAAGATGGTAATCCATTATGATGCATCAAGGAAACGCATCGAACTACATTCCGGCACAAAAAGGTAATGTTCCATCAAGATAATGCAAGACCACATGTGCCTTGCATGTGACCACGGGCTGGAATCTGTATGGACTTGAATGGGATCTTTTGCCACATCCACCATATAGCCCAACATCGCTTCTTTGGACTTCTACCTTTTTTCACACCTGCAGCAACATCTTGCTAGCGCAATCTTCCATTCTGCACAGAATCCCCAAAATGAGATTGATCTGTTTTCTGACTCGAGGGCAACAAGTTTCTGGGTGAAAGGATTTGAAAAACTACCAAAATGTTGGCAGAAAATCATAGATTTGGCTGGTGATTACTACCTGCACTAAAGGTACTGCTTTCATGCTTTTTTCTAACTTTATTAAGGATGTATTTTGGCAGAAAACTTTTGCTACAACCAGATATTTAAGCCTCTGCAGTATTTGTAACAACATACCACAGAAAGAGATGTTTTTGCATCATGCAGGGCCAGTGCTACACTTTCTGCTACCCCATGCAAATTTTGTAACTAAAAAATTCTGTCGCTCAATTCCTTCCTAAATTCTAAACATTTTTTTTACCTTAACTCTGTTGCCCAGTGTGGTTGCACATGGTGTGGCAGCACACGGTGGCCAGTGGTGAATTTCTGGTGTCATGTCCTGCCCACTTCTACCTGTACTTGCCATAAATAGCTGCTGCCTGATAGACCTATGTTTGAATCCCAACGAAGGCATGGAGGTTTGTAAGCAAAATGTATCTGTGCAGTAAGGGGACACTCAAAACACACGGTAAGCCAAAAATCCTCTCGAAAGGTTGGTAATATGGAAAAAGGCGTGGGGGACCCTCAAACTATCTCCACAGCAAGTTCTTTCTCAAAACTGGAAAGGAAACTTATAATTAGCTAGGTTCAGCATCATCTAAATTACCTGTGGAGGTGATGACCTAGCTGCATCTGACCTGTCTTGGATAGCAGCCAACCTTCAAACAGAAAAAAATGGAAGGTACTTGTGTGAAAACCATGAGGTTTTAGGAGATTTTTGCACTACATGGCAATACCATTTCAAAAGAACTCCAAATTTACTTAAAATTCAATTTATAGTGCAAGATTTCTGTTAACTAATGATTTATAATATGAATTCTGATATAAAATATATTACCATTTAATTAGATATGCTAAATTTTATATTTTCAGGCTTGTTTCATAAATTTTCTGGTGAAAGTGCAGAATCGCCCACTGCTTGGCGCATTTTTCAGAATTGTACATACATGTACACGTCAACCTGTTTTCACTTTAAAAAAATATCCCAGAATTGCACAAAAATGGCATTGCGCACACACTTGACTTTATCCATGTACACATCAACCTATTTTCTTTTAAAAAGTCAAAGAAAATTGACAAAAATCCAATTCTTCTTACTCTTGTAAAAAGCAACAAACAAATAAGTGGGAAATTCTGCACTTTAGCCAATTTTCTTATGCTTTTATATTGAGAAAATCCTGAGTAGGAAAGAAAATTTTTTATCAACTAAAGAAATTTTAATTAATAAGAAAATAAATAAATTAATAAATAATTAATGTATATATTATCATGTGAATAAACTTAATATTGTACCATTTACTGTAGTGATATAAAATTAAATGCATATATTAATTACTTGAACACTGGTTGAACTTTTATAAAAGTTCCACAAATGTCTACGGTAGTTTAAGATATTCAAATCAATCAAAATTTAAAAAAGAAAAATAACAATAAAAATCAGTGCTTGTGAGAGAATGAAATTTGGATATTTTGAGTTTAATTAATTTAAAAACTTTTATTTATCGCTTAATGCCATTTTCCTTAGCTAAAAATTGAAAATCGGAAGATTTGGTGATCTACCAGGGGATGTCATGAATAGTGGAAGAGTTTCAAGCTATGCTATGGTGTCAGTGTAAATGTACTTCTTATCAACATCATAAAACACCACCAATGATGAATGTGCATTGCTATGGGAAGATACTGACATCACAGGAATGGTCAATCAAGTGATAAAGATCTGGAAAATTTTCAGACAACATTTGACACCATGCAACAAATGTAACTACAGACCTCTGCAGGAATTTCACCTGTGAAGTTCTCACTCCATCCCACAATTCAGAAACGTAACTCTACGACTTCATAGTTTCTAGACGGTTAAAAAAGCTTTTTTGAATACAATTCGAAATTAATGATAACATGAAAGAGAGAATTCGAAAATGGTTCCAAGAACAACTTAAGGATTTTTACAAGAAGCTATAATATTTTTGGTGCCTAAATAATAATAATAATAACTATTTTTGGGGAATATTAAATCATTACAGACCTTTGACTTAATATTTATTAAATCTATCAGTACTTCATGATTATCTGTACTTCCAGTTACACTCAAAATACAGACTGAGTAATTAAACTGCTGTGTTTTCAACGTATTTTCAACCCCACAAGCAACAATAACTTATTCACTCTTCAGCTTCAGTATGTGTGGAATGGAATTCACGAAGCCTAGTTTCAAGGCATTTTAGTGCTCCTTCAACTAGAATACTAGTAAACAGTGATTAAAATTGATTAAAAGAAACCACAACTGAGTGCAGGGAAGAAATGTCTGAAGTATACCCGATGACTTCAAAAAAAATATTTACAATGTAAAAATTGTTAGAAAGTAAAGGAAAAAAAATCTATTGAAATTTTGTGGACAGCATAAAACCTAACATAGTTAGCAATAGGTGGAAAGAGTGATTTTTAAAATGAAGTTGAGAATACATGAGATTTAACAACAATGATCTGTCCATCCTTATCAGCTTTGGAAATAATGACGTCAGGATTAGCATGAATTCCATGTAAGGCTTTTTTTCCCTTTTGGTTAAGATTCGAAACCATCAATTTGTTATTAAAATTCAGTGGCAAATTGTATCTTCCTGTGTTTCTGAAATTTAAGAGGATTTTAAATCTTTTTCAATAGGAATAGAGCCAAGAAAAAGAAGACACAAGTAAGGCCCTTGCCTCAAGTGATGGCTAGAAAGGTTGCAGAAATTTTATAAATACATACAAAAATAGGTACTATTCGGTTTTGAGGGCCGTAAAAAAAATGCCAAACTATTGTTGATGCCAGTGCTGCCAAAAATAATTGCGGCAAGAAAGGAAGTATAATAGTAAATAACTATCTAAGATTGATATTTTAATTTAGATGAAAGGTTAATTTCATATAATACGTTTTTATTATTATAATTTATATAAAAAAGGCTAAACATGACTGAATGGAAACATAAGAGTAAATAACTATATAATATAACAACAGATCATTATTATAATTTATATAAAAATTGCTAAACATAACTGAATGGTTGCCTGATCGCTATTTCGCTACCGAGTTATCGCTAAAGCATAGTTTCATCTCAGTTGTTCAAACATAATTTTCTATAATGAATGATGCCTTTTCTTTGAAAAAAATCTTGGTAAAGTTCAGAATCGTCCACTTATTTGTTTGCCACTTTATAAGGGTAAAAACAATTGGATTTTTGTCAATTTTCTTTCACTTTTTAAGTGAAAATAGATCAATGTGTACATAGATAAAGTCAAGGGTGTGCGCAGTGCCATTTTTGTGCAATTCTGGGATTTTTTTCTTTTTTTTGAAGTGAAAATAGGTCGATGATGTGTATGGATACCGAGCATGTGCAATTGTTAAAAACGTGTCGAGCAATGGGCGAGTCTGTACTTTACCCAAAATTCTATTGCAGACTTTTCGTCATGGGCAATTCCCAAATTGCTAAATCCATGTGATATCAAAAAGGGATTTAAAATCAAAAAAGGATTTAACAATTAAACTAGTATTTCAATGGCGTCTTAAGAAATACAGTACATCTTTAATCTGGAATGATCTATAATCCGGACCTCAAAGCTACAAACTTTCAACGCAAAATCGCAAAATGAAAACAATAGTCCTTCAGGGATAAAGCCACTTTGGACTAATAATTAAGTATATTTAACTTTATTTTTCTATTTACTTAAACATTAATTTACAAAAATGCCTGAATATTAATGGGTTTCATATTAACTGTGGTATTAGTTATATAATTTCAGTGCTATTTGTTATTAAAAAAAATCCAAAAGGTATCTTTAATGTTTTACTTTAAAAATTATAAATTATTACATGTATTAATTTTCCAAATATATAGGATACAACAAATTTGATTATATATGGGGACACATATATAACTCATTGCCTCAGGTGAAAAAAATTCTTAAGCATGTCTCTGCATAAGAACAATGATTTGAAAAGCTCAAGGTTTTGATGTCTTTGAAAAGTTGAAGTTATATTGCAATACTTTCATCTGATCCTCCAAAAGATTAACAGTAGTGATATTAACAAGAGGATTACTATTTACAGTGGAAAGATTAACAAGTTGGGAGTGGCTAGACCACTGGGGTGAGAGCTTTTGGAATTTAGAAGCATGGACGTCATGGTTTTGACAAGCGGGTTAAGTTCTAGACGAAGATTTTTGATCAAATGAGGAAAAATTTTAAGTAGAATTGGCAATTTTTCAAATACTGGTAAGGTAACATAATTAATATCCAATTTTAGACAAATGTTTGCATGTTTCTTACAATAAGAGGAAGAAGTGACAATTTGAATTTCTGCATAATTTTCCGTAAAAATCTCAACTACATATTTTTCATTTGCTTATTTTATGGAATTTTAATAAAATGTTTTAGGATCACAAGAGTTTATAATCTCATTTGATGAATAAGAAAAATATTCAATCATAACATAACGAATTGATTTTTAACTGTTTTATGATTGCAACAATTTTTTTGGGGGGGATGATAGAAAATGATAATCATGCTTAAAAATTTACCTTCAATATTAAATTGGTAAAATACTAGAATACGATATGGCCTTGGCAAGATTTCTGAAAATTATCGCCAACACCAAAATTACTTGTTTGCTGCTCATCATAATGTCGCAAAAAGTTGCCAAATCGCATGTGTACAACGTATATTAGGATTAAACTATTAAATTGAAGGCATTTCATGTAATATAATTTATTCTTTAACATGTGCAGAACAATGGCAGGATGAAAAACATATTTTTTAATATAAAGGTAATGTGCACACATTTTTCATTTTGATTTCAATTAACAAATATAAAGTTTTTTCAGATATTGTTTTATGTGGATGAAATCAAATGCATATCCAAGTGAAAAGATGGGCACAGCTTTCCACAGCAGCAGAAAGTAAAACTTTTCATCATAAAATGTGAAAATGCAATATATTACGACTTTTATACATTTAGCTACCAAGTCCTCGTATATGTATATTACAAACAAACAGTAAGACTACTTGTTATTTCACTCTAATTTTTGTTACAATAATTATTAAAAATAATATTAAAGGATTATCACTGAAAATTTTACATAGCTCAAATAAAAATTAGTACCATAGTTAAGAAGAAATAATGAAAATTAACATTAAAAATTTTTCAAAAACAATCCTAATTTACTAGTTCAAGGCATATAGCTAAACTACTAATATGATATTTATTTTATAACTTTTCTAAAAATTCATCTTAACTATTTGTCTTTACATGTATAATAAATCAGATAAAAAAATAATACATACAATTTTTATTAAAATACTTTCTTTATAAGAAAATAACTTTCAAAAATTACAGGGCAACACATATAGATTAACATAACATTACAACATTTGCAATTTATTATTAGTACTCACTGTGACTTTTCTTCGCTTTAGACTAGCTCTTGGTTCTCCTGACTGCTCCGATGTTTTAAGGAACTTCCAAAAACAACTCATCTTTAAGTTACATATGTATGACCTAAAAAACAGCATGTGTTACTAAATCTATAAAATTTACAAATATTAAAACATAGCGCAATAAACACTATTCTCATATTCTGATGCATGAAATATTGGTTGATCTTTACAATATGGTAACTGGTAGTTTAGCGACATTTTGGAGGCGATAAAGGTTACTACCTGGGACTTTGGTAATAATGTGAGCAGTACTCATTTCCAATTACGCATTATTTTGTGTGAGGGAAATGAGAGATCATGGGATATGTCATGTGATATTAATGGACGAATTACGGTTCTTTAATCGGAAAAGGGGGGAAATCGAGAAAAAATCTGGAAATTTTGTATTTGGCTTTATTTGTGTTGTGTGAAACAGTGTTCGTGAATTTTGGATCCATGGCGTAACTAAAGTGAATTCAAATGGGGTATTTATGTATGTATTAATTTAATGTGTGCTCTTTATATTTTAATAGTGTTTTTAATTTATTATATTTAATTAATGATAGTTATTTTGTGAATTTTATGTTTGTAGGAATTTGGTATACGTTTTAGTTCAGTAAACGGGATGGAAATAATTTAAATATCTGACACTAAGTATTTGTAATTTTGCGGTATGAATTCGTTGTGATGTTAATGTAATAGATGATTTAGAGGTAAAAGTTTTTGGTATTTTAATTTATATGTGGAATGTTCATATTTTTGGGGGTAATACTTTTTCGCGATCAGGTAATTTCATATATGTTCTTTTACCGGGTTTAAAGATTGAGAAAATTTCATGTATTTTCGTGAAATTTTTCTAATTTATGAGAAAAAAGCAGTGTACATGGATATAGTGAAGAGTGTGCGCAATGCCATTTTTTGTGCATTCTGGGATTTTTTAAAAAATAAGTCGGCGTGTACATGGTTAGTGAATTTTAATTAAATGATAATTATTTTGTGAATTTTATGTTTGTAGGAATTTGGTATACGTTAAGTTGAAGTAAACGTGCATGGAAATAATTTAAATATTTGATATAAGTATTTGTAATGCTTGCGGTATGAATTCGTTGGTGACGTGTATAATGTAATAGATGATTTAGAGTAAAAGTTTTTTGGATATTTTATTTATTTTATGTGTGGAAATGTTCATATTTGGAAAGGGTAAATACTTTTTCGCGATCAGGTAATTTCATATATGTTCTTTTTACCGGGTTTAAAGATGAGAAAATTGTCATGTATTTTCGTGAAATTTTCTAATTTATGAGAAAAAAGCAGTGTACATGGATATAGTGAAGAGTGTGAGCAATGCCATTTTTGTGCAATTCTGGGATGTTTTTTTAAGTAAAAATAAGTCGGCGTGTACATGGTTATGTGTATGAGTTATTTTGAAAAACGCTAAGGAGTATGGTATTGTGCACTTTTTCCCAATTTTGCAGTGAATATTTGTCATGAGTAAGCAGTTTTGTTAGGTAAAATTTCTAGCATAAGTGTAATTCGGTAGTAGATTGTTGGAAGAAGTGTTCATTAGATAAAAAGAAAGAACATGTCTTTACTTCGTGAAGACAAAATGGCGGCGGGAAAAAAAAGTAGAGGGTTGCTGTAGGAGAGTTGGTCGCCAACTTTTCGCCAAAAAAACGCCAAGTTACCATAATGTAAAGATCAACCGAAATATTGTTACGAGAAATGTACAGGTGTGGTGAGATAGCTTCTCCGCAAAGCAGTTTTAGGGTTGCCATAAAATGGCAAGGGAAAGCAGGGTTGCCACATTTGGCGAGAAACTGCCCATTCTGTGACAAAATTGGTGATATGCAATGGACGGATGGAGAACCTTCTGGAAATAATTCTTACCGGCCAGCAAGTGTCGAGTGGGTTGTCGAGTGCACCGAAGGAGTCTGTTAGTGTATCACGGTTAGTGCAACGTCAACAGAGCGTGTTGAGCTCTGGGAACGATTGAACGGAAGAGTCGGGAGCTGTGCTCGTGTGTCGTCGAGTTCATCGCAAGTTGTAGTGTGGAGAGTCTCGAGAGTACGTGGAGTTCCGAGAATGACCAAGCAGAGCCGGGAGCTGTACTTTGGTGCTTTGCAGGAAGCTGTCTCCACCATTATTGCCTAACAGTGTGAAGGCTGTGTCGCTGATTGTTCCAGACTGGAGTCATAAAAAGAAAAATGCAACAACATTTTCTTTTGGATGAAAATTGCATATGGTATAAGCACAGAAGAATCTGTCTGAAATTTAAAGGTTCTGTTGGTTACATTTTGTAATTGGTACTGATAACTGGCATTTATTTCAAATAATTCTAATGCATTGAAATAATCATTAAATAACTTTTAATTTAAACTAAAAATAAACAAACTGCCAGAAATTTCCCAAGTGAAGAAAACATAAATTGGAATTTTCCTTTTTGTGTCATTATAATTATTCGTTAGGCAAGTTCTGATAAATATTTAGTAAATAACATAGTTTAAAAAATTTGTTTTGCTAAAAAAAATAATGGCCTATATCAGCTACTTTTAAATAATGCATTTGGCACTGGCATGCAATTCAAGACACTGATATAAAGAAACAAACAACAACAACAAAAAGTAAGTAACTAAATTGTTTATACAGAAAACAAAATTGTGTTAAAAAGGAAAACTAAATAATAAAACTGATTTGCATCACAGTAAGAACAATATATAAAAGCAGAACATTTCTTAATATTGTACATGTTTTGCAATTTTATTTAATTTTGAAAGGATTTTTTTTATTTTGTAATTTTAAATTTCAAAAGGATAAATTCAAAAGAAGTGATATTTTACTCTAACCCTGCTGAACTTTAATTTCAATAACATTGTAGTTCATGTGAAAATCAGAAATGGTGCATTCCTTTCTACCATACAAGATTGTATTGCAAATGGCATCAGGGTAAAATAAGATTTTGGATACGGTGTATTCTCAGAAGTGTTCGAAAGTTTTTTTTCATGGTGGAGAAAATCAGATGGAAGAAGCTGTTTTTTTTCCCTTATTTAATATTATTCATATTTGATTGAGTAACACTATTACAGTCAAAAGGTTTTAA